GGGGGGCGGGGCAACCAGAGGGAGAACACTTAGGGGACAGAATGCTCGCTGTGGCTGTGAAACACGGGGATGCTGTAGGAGAGAAGTCACCCGGCTCCTGAAAAGCGCGCTGCAGAAGTCGGAGAGCCATTTGATGCGAGAAAACGCGAGGAAACGCAGTACAAAACACCAATTTTATTATAAATATCAAGCAATCCACAGGGTATTTATGGGTCACGTATATATGCCTTTGCTCGTGTTGGAAAGTAGCTGATCTTTCCTTTGTGTAGATTCTAAATATTTCTCCTCCTTTTCAGTGTGAGCCACACAGACCCCGGCTGTAAGCCCAGTCACAGCACAGTTATAAACCAGGTTTTCTTCCAGGAAACCTGCAGTTCTCAAGAGCTTGGAGAGAGGCTATCACGCATGGCAGAATTTCAAGTATCACCTAGGGGTTATATTTTAGGGAGTCGCTCCTGTCTACTCTGCAGCTCTGTAAGATCCTTGCTCCCAAATTCTCCCCCGAGGCCAGCAGGAAAGGGGGAGGCCATGAGACGTCTTTCATTCCGGATCACCCGACCCGCTGGGAGCCTGCACCATGGCCCAGTAGCGTCCCCTCTTCTCCATGAGCTGCTGGTGGGTTCCCGCCTCGCAGATGGTGCCTCCTTCCAGAAAGAGGATGTGGTCAGCCTGCTCCACGGAGCTGAGACGCTGGGTGATGAGAAGCACGGAGCGGGAGCATCGCTCGGGGCTCTCATACAGGAGCTGCTCCACCTGGGGAACCACAGGGACTCGGTCAGGGCTCAGGGAGGCCTGGTGTTCCCAGAGCCCACAGACCTTGCCAGCACCGCGGACACCTGCGTGCTTCTCTCTAAAACCTTTGATCAGTTCAGGACCATTTCTGTGCAGGAGCCACAGTGGAATAAAAGCCAGAGTCCTATGGTGAAGCCAGTAAGAAAAGAGCTAAGGGTATTCAATAGTCTCTCTCCCTCTGGACTGGGGATTTTTATATTCTGTTTTAAAGAAGTACTACTTCGTGGTAAATACATGAGAATTCAAGTCAAATTGACTTGAATTTGGGTCCAGTCTCTGCTGCTCAACAGATGAATGCCATTGAGCCAGCTATTCGACCTCTGAGCCTCCATTTCATCACCTGCAGAGAGGCTAACAACGGCCTGCTCACTAGCATTCAGAGTGAATAAAGGAGTAAGACAGTGCATGCAAAGGGTCTTGTAGCAGACCTGGCAATAGTATAAGCTCAATTAACATTGATATTGATATTAGGGTAGTCTTTTCCTTATGTCTAGCTTCAGAGGATGTAGATACTCTTGTAACTGGTTCTGGGCATCTTAGGGAGAAGCTGGTAGGAGCTGAGAATTGCAAGGACTGGCTTGGAGAATTATGATGTTAGTATAAGTAACATAGTAGGAATGAAGGAAGGGAGATCAGTGGGATACAGGCATTAAGATGGCAGTCTCACCCGTAATTGGCTGTTTGCATCCAGGGCGCTGGTAGCATCGTCCAGGATGAGTACACGTGGTTTCCGGATCAGTGCTCGAGCCAAGGCCACTGCCTGCCGCTGACCCCCTGATAGCTGGCCCCCAGCCTCACCTACCTCTGCAGAGACAGGAGCCAAGGCGACAGCTGGGTAACCACATGTGGACCCATGTGCACACACATGCACACACACATGCACACACACGACAGAGTCATGGAGCAAGGAATAATGGGCACAGCTGGACAGGGACAGTTCTGGGAAGGTGATGGAGCGCTGAGGATGCGAGGATGAAGGAGCCATAGGAACCAGACCTTAAAACCTCAAACTGATGTCAATGGGGCAGGAAGAACTGATAAATACAGGCAAGGCTATTGGGGTTTCTGGGGTGACACTAGTGGATACAACACCTGTGTCGTAGCCCTGAGGGAGTTCAGAGATGAAGCTGTGGGCTCCGGACGCCACTGCCGCAGCTGTGACCTCCTCTAGGGTTGGCTTCTGGGTCAGGCCATAGGCAATATTTTCTCGGAAACTTCTTCCAAATAACTGTGGCTCTTGTCCCACTGCGGCCACCTGGGACAAAATACGGGGAAGAGTCATGGGACAAGGAATAGTGGAATCGTCCTATAGATATTAAAGACTCAAATTCTGCACTGATATCATACTGCAAAATTACACGCCCTCTCTCCTGACCACGCCCCCATCTCCACACAGGGTCTCCCATCATCCCCTGACCCTTCTTTCCCAGAGCTCAGTGACGCTCAGTGAGAATATTCTTACCTGGTGCTCCCCGCCTCCCCCGACCACCTTCTTGCTCACCTGTCTGTGCAGGTAGCAGTGTTCATACTGGGGGAGGGGCTCCCCATCCAGCAGCAGCGTCCCGGCCGTGGGCTGGTACAGGTTCTGCAGCAGGGCCGCCACGGTGCTCTTCCCAGAGCCATTGGGGCCCACCAGTGCCGTCACCTCACCAGGACGCAGGGTGAACGTCAGCCCCTGGAGGCCAGAGAATCAATCACACAATAAGAGGCCGCTGGGGCCCTAACCTTGAGACTGTCGCTGTCTTGTTACTGTCACGTCTTATTTCAGGGAAGAAATTAGGAAAACGGGGAAATATAGTCACCCTACCCTCCCACTGCACAGGCTTCTGTCCCGAGGGATATAACTCCCACAGGAGGAGAGCTGGAAAGGGAGGCAAAGACAGGACAAAGCCTCCGCACCACTGTGCCACACACTTGATATCACACGCCAGGAGAAAACAAAAAAGAAAATCACATTCAAAATCACAAAGGGGAAAAGAGGAAAGATGGGAGGCTGGGGGCACAGATCTTCCTTCAGCAGTTCCTTCGGACCTGAGCGCTTCCTCCCTGAGAGCCCCTGGCCCACTCTCCTTGGAAACCCAAACTGGTTCTTCAGTTCGGGGCAGATGATGCGCATCTTGCCTTTGCAGGGTCAGGAAGGATCTGCCTGTGCCTGGGGCTAAGCAGGCTGAATGAGGAGAAAGTTAGGGTGGAAGAGTGGGAGCATGTGGTGGGCTGGGAGGTGCACCTGCAGCACTGGGGCATCTGGACGGTTGGGGTAGGCGAAGGAGACATCTTGGAACTGAACAAGGCCCTCCAAGTCCGAAGGAGTCAACACACCACTGGCTGGGCAGCAAGGGATCCGATCCAGGTACTCAAATATTTTCTCTGAGGAGCCCACAGCCTTCTGCACCCTGGGGTAGGTGGAGAGCAGTACCTGGAAGGGAGGAATGGATAGTGAGCTCGGGAGGGGCGCCTAATCTGCTTGCCAGGTCATGTGACATGAGAAAGGTAAAGAATGGAAGGAAAATGACAGGGATGGTGACAGGATGGGGAAAGGAGGAGTGAAACTGGCAGGAACTCACCTGAACAGCTGTGGTGAACTGGATCTGGTAGAGAACAAACATGACAAGGTTCCCACTGCTCACAGCCCCACTGGTCACCAGCTTCCCGCCGGTGTATAGGATTCCCACCTTCAGCAGCATCCCCGAGATCTGTGGAGAGACCACAGAGAAAAGGAATCGTGGTAGAAATCTAACAGGGTACAGAGAACCAGAATCCTTAGCATTGAGGAGATATAAAGTCCCTTTCCCCCTGTAACAGCAGGAGGCTCAATAAGTAAAAAGAATGAACCACGAGGCCCATGGAGTCTTACTCAATGACACATGTGGAGGTCATCACATCACATCACCATTATCACCTTGTTGGGGAGCAATTTGCTCTTCACAAAAGGCTTTCATGAATGTAAAGTAATCTAGCATTCATATCAAGAGCCCTACAAACAAGGTTATATCACTCCCATTTTTCAAAATGAGGAAACCATGTCAGAGAAGGAGTGTTACTAGGCCATGGTCACAGAGCTAGTAAATGGCATCACCAAGCCAGGAACTTGTGATTGCTGGTCTAGTTCTCTTTCAAGTACATCATAGATGCCCTGCCCCCTATACTTGGTTTCTGCACTCTCATGACTCTCACTAGCACACCCACACAGTCCCAGCATGAGGCGGGCTCACTGCACATGCCCTGAGAAGTGAAGGAAGGTCCTGGGACTGGAAGACATAGCATCTTCCTAAAAGGAGGATTGGATTGGGTAGGTTTGTGTCCTGCAGTGAAAGGAAGCCATCTAGCCTAAAAAGAGGGAGCCCTGAGTAGGGTGACTGAGCCTCAGAGTGAGAGGATGAGAACACTGAACCAAGCATTGCCCAGTGGGGGAGGAGTGTGGAGCAGGGTCAAGGGGAAGAGGCTGGAGCCAAGGCACCTCGGGGACAAGGGAATGGGCATTCATCTCCGGGTGCTCACACTGGAAGTCCAGAGGTCGACTGCATAGGCCACGGCCTCCTTCTGGTTGAGTATATTCATTTCCTGCTGTTTCTGCCTGAACTTCTGGGCCTCACCCTCCTCATTGGCAAAGCTCCGGACTGTAGGCATGGCTGATAAAACCTCAATGGCCACCTGGCTGGACTTTGCCAGAGATTCCTGCACCTTTGCTGCCAGCACCTGTGGAGACATAGACAAGAGATGTCACACAGGGTTGGCAAACCATAGGGATACTTGTGCCTAAGTAACCTGGTTGGAGATTAAAGGTGAGAAGAGGCAGAGGGACAGGGGAGAAGAGAAAGGGACACAGCTCTACCCTCTGGAAAGAGATCCAGAGAAGAAAATTACTTGGGAGGGTGGTAGGGGATCATAGTCTTGAGATTGGTGATCATAACCTTAAAGATAGATTGTGGGCAGGAGTTAGAAGAGTAGATACAGAGAATGTGAAGATCAGCACTCCCACTGAGTCTGGGAACACGGACTACAGGGCAGGGAGTCCATGAAAATGGAGAACCATGGAGGTACCAGGAAGAAAGCCGAGAGAAACTGAGTCTACCAAGGTAGGAGATGAGCATCTGTGTAGGTTGAGGTAACTCCCTGGACATACCTGGCGCCATTTCCCCAGCTTCTTAGGCAGGAGGAAAAGCAGAGGCAGGGCGACCAGGGTGACCAGGGTGAGGGACGGTGACCCCCAGAGCATGAGCCCCAAGAGACACAGCCCCCGCACCAGGTACCACAGCAACAGGCTCAGCTGCTCACTCACGGACTCACTCAGGGTGGCCGTGTCTTCTGTTACCCGGGATGTGATGGCACCTGCGGAGGTTGGGGAAGAGAAAGTGGAGTGAGGGTCTCAGAGGGATGGGAGGGACTAGCAGTGGCCTGGGTGCCAGAGGGAGGGGGGTCAGCGTGGGGG